ACAAAGTGGATCCGTGAGAAAGGAGAGCGAGGGCTAGATAGAGAGCGAGCGAGAAAAAGAAAAGATTATCTTAATTATCATTCAGAGGCCTGCTCGGAGCAGCACCTGTGCATGAATAATATCACTTATGGGCACATTGAGATGTGCATAATTCCCTTTAAATCACTCACATTAGCGCCATAACAAGGGATGAACAAGTCTGTTGCTCTCGCCGGCTCAACTCGGAAGGAGGGTTGGTAATTGTGAGAGCCCCTCTCACCTCCTCAATAAGGATGCCGCTCCGTATTCGGAGGATCAGGCTTTCTCATTTCATTACACTATTTGACGACTTGATGTAGTCCGACGGAGAGACCGCCCGATATAATGCCTCGTTTTGGAATTTTCGTTTTTCATTGCTTTATATCATTGTGGTAAGAGTCTAAAGGTTATGTGGCTTTCAACATGATCCATGTGGATCGGTATGCTAGAGGCTTTAGAGCGCTGGTAGAGCACCTATAGGTTGTTCGTTTAAATACCCAAGCTAGTAAGGGGTGCCCTTTAGCAAGGCATTTAACCCTGATTGCTCCTGTAGGTTGCACCCGATTAGAGTGTCCGCCTATACGACTGAAATGTTGCCGGTTTGATTCCTCGAGCTGAAAGTGATGTCGCCGTGCCTTGGAGCAAGGCATCCAACCTCTCTGGATTAGAGCGGCTTCTTTATTGATACAAGTGTAAGTGAATGACTCACATGTTACCATGACAGAAAAAATAATCACTTTAAATCATGCCACAGTCAAACAATGAAGCATTATATTTTGGGATTCCCCTAACCAAAGCGTACGCCTAGGCATGCAAAATGTGGGTAAAGAAGGGAGATAATTAACATACTACACAAGTACATTATTAAATCGCTGCACAAGAGTGTCAGTTTAACCTTTTCTGCAATAATGTATGCCCATCTCTGTAAGTCGCTTTAATGTATTCTAAAATATACGGTAAGGCTTAAAATGCCACACCCATATGGACAAATGCCTCGTTTCCACAGGTGCCGAACACTGGTGTTTGAACCTAACGTTGTGCTGTTTCCACACACATGAATCCATGCCAGTCGGCCAGTAGGCCGTGGCCCAGTAGCCCAGCTCTTACTCGGTGCCAAGTGTCACCAACAAACCGAGCATGACGTCAGACTCCATTGTTATTTTTGTTTTACCACCAGAAAAAAGGCCAGCCAAATTGTTTTGACGGAATACTCCTCCCGTCACACCCTCCACAAAACCCGGTTATAAGTTCTTGGTAACGAATGTGTAGTCAAAACGGGAAAGTCTACAGCTATCATTAGCATAGATCACTGATGTAGCCTTTTTTACTGAGGTAAAGCCATAGCGGATAATACATATTAGCCACTGTCTGCAGGAAAACAGGGCTGCATAATTAATGTATACAGTAGTACAGCAAGCAAAGATGTGGAGGATTCACCCACTGCGGACTTCTTAGCGTGGACCGTGCGTGCTGTCAAAAGTTCAGTGCAATAAGGGAAACCTTTGTGTGGTGATAAAATCAAACACGCCTTCACTTGTGTGGAACACTTCAGGCAGAACAATGCCAATAGAGATAGGTCATTTGCCCCCGTACATAATTAGCATTTCCAACTTGCACTAGAATTGGTCAACGCGTGTTTGTCCGTGTGTGTGAAATCACTGTCCACTGTCGGTAGGTACTCACAGCTGTTGACCGGGAGCACTCCACATTCCGTGCCGTTTTAGAGTGGCTTTAATCCAGTTGTGTTGCCATACCAGTTTGGCCCTTGTCAAAGTTGATCAGGTCTTCACTCCTGCCCATTTTCCCTGCCTTCAACAGAAACATTCCTGCCTGGTTTGGATCTTACCCATTAGAAATATATCAGTTTGTATGCTTGTATGGTCGTCTGAAAAAGTATTCTTAGGTGTTCCTCAAGGGTTTGTTTTTGGACCACATGTTTTCAATACATCTCTGTGATCTCTGTCACCCAGAAACACAATGTCAATTTTCAATGCTATACAAATGAGATATCTGTTTTAAATTAACATGGCAAAGCCATAAAGTGCCTACCCTGATTTACCAAACCCAGCCACAAATGTTAAGCTTTTACTGATAACGTGTATCTCTTCGCTAGTGTTTATGATGACATGTAGCCTGGAGATATGCGTTCTGTGAAAAAGACAGCCCCCAACTCAGTGACTTTATTTATACACTGCAGTAGTTCAAGTGCCAGGGAAATAAAAGTATCCTAGTCGGAATTAACAAATGCTCCCTCTGAATTTATCGTAGCAAGTCTTTAGTCCTTGGACCACACCATGGGACTGCCTGGACTGGTGACTCCTGGATACCCTGTTCAATGTCGCTCTAGTTTTAGCAGTCTTAGCTTCTGCCTGGCAACTCCTGCTGTCACCGCCCACATCCCATTTGGTCATCTCTCCGTGTCCACCTGGTTGCCTACAATGATCATCTGTACATTAAATAATGTTGCTGTTGCCAAAAACAGGAATTGCACTATCACAGTCTTCACCCAGCACAGCCAGAAGCAAACACGGTCAACCGATCAGAGTCCGTCTCTAGGTTTGTTCCTAGGTTTCTGACACAAAATATGGGGACTTTCATTGCTGCTGTACCTCTACATCTCGTTGGTTGCACTTGGGGGTTGGCAAAGATTGGGGGATCTACTACATGAACATTTGAGAGTTTGATTTCAGATTAACTACGCTAACAATGCACAATACTAGTAAGGAATGGGTAGCTTGGGATGTATCTTTTTTCTCTCTAGTGAAGGGAGGTGCTATTGGACTGGTAGGAAAATGAAAAACTGCATTCATGATTAAACTTCTGTAAAACATGTATTTTAATTATGGTCCAATGGCCCCTGTTTTTTTTTTACATAAATATTTCACAGTAATACTAATATTCACAGTAATACCCGTGTAACTACTATGCTGTCACTGTGTTGGATACTCAGTAATACCTGTGTAACTACTATGTTGTCACTGTGTTGGATACACAGTAATACCTGTGTAACTACTATGTTGTCACTGTGTTGGATACACAGTAATACCTGTGTAACTACTATGTTGTCACTGTGTTGGATACTCAGTAATACCTGTGTAACTACTATGTTGTCACTGTGTTGGATACTCAGTAATACCTGTGTAACTACTGTGTTGAAACTTTGTTGGATACACAGTAATACCTGTGTAACTACTATGTTGTCACTGTGTTGGATACACAGTAATACCTGTGTAACTACTATGTTGTCACTGTGTTGGATACTCAGTAATACCTGTGTAACTACTATGTTGAAACTTTGTTGGATACACAGTAATACCTGTGTGATAACTATGTTTTTTCACTGTGTTGGTTAAATATTAGCTAGGCCAACTGGAATATTAGGTTTTATTGAATATTCTAATATTCTGACTTCCTGCGTTTTTATGCATCCATCTTTCAATTTACATTTTTGAACTCTGTATTATTTTACTCCCCTCAGATTGATAAAAAAAATCTTGCATCACAATATATTATTCATGTCAAATAGCTTTTCATCTCTTAAGATACAAACTCATCTGATCCTTTTAACAAGTATTTATTTCATAGCGAAACAGAGCTCTCTCTAGAAGCATACAACTATCGCCCGAGGACATATCCCTTAAATAAAAGCATCATATCTTTGCGTACCTACGATTTGCATACTAAAGGAACGGGAGATGAACGTTGAAAGAATCGGGCACAGCAATCTAATCATTGCCTATCTCTGACTGGAATTCTGAATTCTTATGGGTCTCCCTTCTGAGACATAACAGAAAGAAAATGCTCTTAAATTAAGAGGATCTTTTCAAGTTCATTATCCTCGAGACTATTCAAGTGCTCAGCACACTTTTACTCGGAGCGATCGGCCTCAGTTGGTTGCATGTGGCTCTGATTTTATTTCTGAAAACTCAATTGCCGGAATTAATGGATAACCTGTATTGAAGGAAGCCCAGTGTTCTAATGAATTCCAAGACGCTCCGCGGTTATATCAAATAGACACGTTGAAAACAGTAAGATCAAGCGTAAAAAACACGTGGAAAAACAGTAAGATCGAGATCAAGCTTTGGATATGTTTCGACGAACCTTTTGGAATCTACAGTGTTGTGAAGGAACACTTTGCTCTAATTGCCATGAAGGTAGAAGGACTGTATGCCCGGAAGTGCTATAACATCGGCAGAGCTATTGCATCCCAATGCCGTCTGTTAATCGTTGTAAGGTCATCAAAAGAAAATCTGCCCTTGCAAATACAATCTGTGGCCATGAAAATCCACAGAGTTGGCATGGACCTCAACGCGTCGCTCTGATCAAGCTGGCACACCATTGATTTGTGTGCCCCACGGGTATGGGTGCCACACACAGGCCACACATTTAGGCCGCTCTAGGTTGTCTCCTCACCAAGAGTGACTGACCATGACTTCAACGGACCGCCGTGGACGGGCGGGTGTCACCGGCCTTGCTGCCATTCCGTGTACAGTCACCTCGACCCGTCCCGAGTCTGACCCACTTCCCCGGCCGGTCCGCCCGTCCACACGGGCTGGCGTAGCCCCTCGCGACTACAGCCCCGATTGGGCCTGACACTGCCGAGGTCACCAGTGATGCAATCTCACCGCGGGGCTAATTAGAATAAAGCCTTCACAGGAGATCAGATGAAGGAGATGAAGTGTTTCCCCCGTTACTGAAGTGGTCTCCAAGGAGACAGCGGAATGAAGCTCCTCTGATCACTTAAATGAACCTCCGAGGACAAAAAGACACTCAACAAACTTCCCTTCTGTCCACTCATCGGCTAACTTCAGTTGGGGTAATGTCTTCTTGTATAGGCGGTACCCTCAGGAGACATTGTACACATGAGTGAATTCAACAGTCACATGGTAAAGGGCATTTCTTTATAATTCATGTAATGAAGCACCGTTATTGTTGCAACCCTATCCTTAACCCTAACCCAATTAATTTAAACATAAGCCCATGGGTTGCTAGCTCGGTGGTAGAGTTCCGGCTTTGTATGTATGATGTCCTGGGTTCAATCCCCAGGTCGTCGTTCCAAAGGTGAATTCCCTCCTGTGGTTCATTTAAGAGTGCACGTACCAACCAAGACATTTACACGTGCCCCCAGTGTACTCAAAACTGTGGCCAGGACACAAACAGAGAGCTGTGGAGCATCGCCCGTCCAGAAGTGGTTCCCGTAACAAGTGCTTCCCGGAGGGTTGTCTCATGTTACACAGAGGCAATCGCAGCCATCGCAACCCGGTCACTGCAACCTGGTCACTGCAGGTAGCTAGCGGCATCCGAGATGAAGACCTCCACCTACACGCCCTTCCTCTCCGCACTGTGCAGCAGAGAGCAGCAAAGCCAGAAAAACTCTTCCCAACTTTCCTCTACTAAATTCCGTTAACAGAAGCGGATCGTTTATTTTGCAGCTGGTGTTTTTTATGAACAGTTCAGGGTTAAATCATGTCTCTGGCATAAGAGGTCTTTGGGATTCACAAACCCATGGTTTTAATGAAGTCAATACAACACCCACGCAGATTTTCCTGACCAAATTTGGAGATGATTACAAGTGAGGAAAACCAAAGGGGGGTCCCGCTATCCATCGAATCAAATTCTTCTTCTTCCAGTTCTTCTTCCTTCGTCTTCTTCCCCACCTCCACATTTATTTTTACGTATACGTAATGATGTATGCCCAAATGAAGTCTCATTTACTGTACAACATGAGAAGTTCATAAAATATACGACATGTACAGCCTCAGATCAGAACCTGTTTGAAATGTGAGAATTGGTCAGGCATTACCTAGACACCTAATTTAAATTTGATAGAAGTTTCGCGTCTATTTCAGTACAAACCCCATATAAGTAATTTGGTAGAATTCTCATGTTTTTTCTCCATCCTACATCCTGGCAAACAAATTATAGAAGCAATTCCTAACATAATTACAATTAAGCCACATTAAATGACGTGCACATTAAGTTTATTGAGCATTCTATTATGCCAAGTGAATAAGCTAGTATTGCAGCCTGCAAACCTTCTTTTTATAAGATGAAAATGTTAACAAGTTAACGATAAAATTTACGTCACGTTACGTAACAGCCTATGATTGAATAATACATTTTACTACAGCCTTCGATCTAATTAAAGGAAGGCAACTTTAAATGTTCCACAGATTAAGGTTTCAAAGCAGAAAAATGACTGAGGACACTTTTTTGTTGCCATTTTAGTAGCATGAGTCAAGTATCATTACACTTTAAAAGTAAACGTCTTACACTAAAATTAATCATTAAGTTATTCTCAGAAAATAAATGTTTCTAATTATAGTGAGTCACTATTGTATTACGGATGTTTCTTGCTTATAGAGCCGTGTGTTAGGACTACACATTATCCATCGGGGATTTTTAGCCCACCAGAGTCACCAGCTCTGCCACGTTTTGCATTACGAGCCAGGTTTGTTCCCCTCATGTCCGCGCATGATGGGGGCGAAATGAATTATTCTGAGAACAGGGTTGACACGCTTTCACGACGAGGACACTGTCCCTAACCGCCGTCGCGAGACGACCGGTTTGATTTATAAAGTGACTTTTCATGCCGTCTCTATCACAAACGGACATCGATCTCTAATGTTAAAACATGACACGATGGCTAATGTTACTTCGTAATTGGGCAGCGTTGTACGTCCACTCCATTGCTTTAACACAGTCTCCTCAATGGGAATAATGTTCTTCAGTTGTACAACTAGTTTCAGTATCAGATAAGCACTTTAACTTGCTGAATAGCATGATATTAGTGTCAAAACCAGCGTGCACACGAAAAACATTAAGTGAAACATACAAAAGTGCCTTATCTCAAAAATATTTCTTATATTCCTTCATTCTCCTCGAGATATTAAGCTATTTAATTACAGTTAAGAGCATTAAGGAATGATTTTAAGTATAATTTGCAGTTCATGAACTGTTTTAAAAAATTACACTTAATATAATTAACTGCTGTCATTAGACCTAATCCCAGAGGGGAAAGAGTGAATGCTTGCTTTAAGAAATATGCATACACCTAAAACGGCATTCATTTCAATTCAACAAAAAGAACTGGGCTGCAAAAGGTTTGGCTCTCTAAATGGCATAATTATCTATTTTCACCGTGTGTAGTATAAAAAACACCGTTAAGTCTATTAACTCAGACGCTTATTCACCGTGCATAATCATATACCTACCATGTACTAACCTCAGAAATTAATTGGCAATGGCCTCTTTAGAGCCCGAGCTAAACGCCGTGCCGGGGTTACAGGCCGTGCAAACATCTGAGCTTCAATGGTTCCAGCTATTAACAGTGCCCTGTTTACTATAATTTAAGCTGTGTTTAAATGATACCTTGACATCAGAAAGGAGGACAAGTAGACAATGCGTCCTGGGAGAGTTAAATAACTACACAGACCGATACATCGAATTGCGTCTCCCATTTTGGTCTGCCGGCGAAGTATCTAATTAAAATAGAGATATTTTCCTGTCAAAAGCATCGGGGACCATGTTTAATTAAGTCAAGGGGACAGTAACATATTAGTGATGTGGAAGGCTTAGCAGCCATCCACCATTTGCGTGATGCCTTTCATAAAAAATGCATGTGCCCGTCTTGAAAGGAGCACTGTAATTTGTGAAGGGCCTTCGAGTGCCAGGGAAAAAAATACCCCCTTCGTAGTTTTGTATCGAAACCACAAAAAGCAATAGGAGCTTTCATAAACCGGACAGCTTTCACAAACCAGACAGCCTGCTCACCTGGACAGGCCAGAGTCGAGGAGATTGTCGCCCCCATATTGATGAGTTTATGGAACTGTCACTTAATCTCGGCCCGACTGTTTTAATCACCTTGGAGTCATCCTATCCTCCTGTCCAATGGCATCGCAGGCGACCGTTGACGCGGACCGTAACTGACCAGTAATTTAAATGGATGTGATTCCACCTACACCGGCATGCTGGGCCGTAGGGCGAATTAAACTCCCCTAGAAATGTGCACTGAGTGATGTTCCCTGTACCCAGCTGAGGCCCTGCAGACACAGCCATGATCAGGCATCCTAATCACCCGTCAGCCAAAGCCGCTGTTGCTTCGCATTAGAATCTGTGTTTGTGCATATCAAAGATTCCACAAACGCCTTGGCAAAACACATAATCACTTTTGCCTCCAAGAGAGAGAGAGGGAGGGAGAGAGAGAGGGAGAGAGGGAGGTAAAGAAAGAAATAGAGCAGTGGGGTTATACAGAGATGAAAGATTGGATGAACTATCCACACTGACTGCAGGAAAAGGAGATACAAACAAAAGCACAGGGAGGAGAATCTGCTTTAAAACTGTCAAGTTTGTCACGCGGCAACACTGCGCCTGACTACATGTAGAGATGCACCGATAGAGGGTCGAACCAGCCCTCATAACACAGCATACCTAAAGTATGGAACTAGCCCTCATAACACAGCATACTTATGGAACTAGCCCTCATAACACAGCATACTTATGGAACTAGCCCTCATAACACAGCATACTTATGGAACTAGCCCTCATAACACAGCATACCTAAAGTATGGAACTAGCCCTCATAACACAGCATACCTAAAGTATGGAACTAGCCCTCATAACACAGCATACTTATGGAACTAGCCCTGATAACACAGCATACCTAAAGTATGGAACTAGCCCTGATAACACAGCATACCTAAAGTATGGAACTAGCCCTCATAACACAGCATACCTAAAGTATGGAACTAGCCCTCATAACACAGCATACCTAAAGTATGGAACTAGCCCTCATAACACAGCATACTTATGGAACTAGCCCTCATAACACAGCATACTTATGGAACTAGCCCTCATAACACAGCATACTTATGGAACTAGCCCTGATAACACAGCATACCTAAAGTATGGAACTAGCCCTCATAACACAGCATACCTAAAGTATGGAACTAGCCCTCATAACACAGCATACCTAAAGTATGGAACTAGCCCTCATAACACAGCATACCTAAAGTATGGAACTAGCCCTCATAACACAGCATACCTAAAGTATGGAACTAGCCCTCATAACACAGCATACTTATGGAACTAGCCCTGATAACACAGCATACCTAAAGTATGGAACTAGCCCTCATAACACAGCATACCTAAAGTATGGAACTAGCCCTCATAACACAGCATACCTAAAGTATGGAACTAGCCCTCATAACACAGCATACCTAAAGTATGGAACTAGCCCTCATAACACAGCATACCTAAAGTATGGAACTAGCCCTCATAACACAGCATACTTATGGAACTAGCCCTGATAACACAGCATACCTAAAGTATGGAACTAGCCCTCATAACACAGCATACTTATGGAACTAGCCCTCATAACACAGCATACTTATGGAACTAGCCCTGATAACACAGCATACCTAAAGTATGGAACCAGCCCTGATAACACAGCATACCTAAAGTATGGAACTAGCCCTCATAACACAGCATACCTAAAGTATGGAACTAGCCCTGATAACACAGCATACCTAAAGTATGGAACTAGCCCTGATAACACAGCATACCTAAAGTATGGAACTAGCCCTCATAACACAGCATACCTAAAGTATGGAACTAGCCCTGATAACACAGCATATCTAACGTATGGAACTAGCCCTGATAACACAGCATACCTAAAGTATGGAACTAGCCCTCATAACACAGCATACCTAAAGTATGGAACCAGCCCTGATAACACAGCATACCTAAAGTATGGAACTAGCCCTGATAACACAGCATATCTAACGTATGGAACTAGCCCTGATAACACAGCATACCTAAAGTATGGAACTAGCCCTCATAACACAGCATACCTAAAGTATGGAACTAGCCCTGATAACACAGCATATCTAACGTATGGAACTAGCCCTGATAACACAGCATACCTAAAGTATGGAACTAGCCCTCATAACACAGCATACCTAAAGTATGGAACCAGCCCTGATAACACAGCATACCTAAAGTATGGAACTAGCCCTGATAACACAGCATATCTAACGTATGGAACTAGCCCTGA